TGTCTACGCAACAGATTCCTTGTTTATTCCTCCTCCTAGTTCAATTTTCATCATTGCGGTCCTCCTTCAGTTATTTTGTTGAGTTCAACTACCGTGGTTCCACAGCCTGGAATGGATATCATCTGAAAAACTGGCCGAATGCCTCCGCTTTTTATAGCAGTGAGTAGACAATATTGTTCACAGTATCAACAATGCTACTCTGTCTTCTACTAAGGAATTGTTTGGTCTGGACACAGCTAAAGCAGGTCATGGGGTTCTTATGATGGTTCTTTACTAGATCTACTTTACATTTTGTTCGACATTTACTTTATATCTCTGAACACTTCTTTCTAACCGCTTGATACTTACAAAACCTTATGTGCCTCCAGACTATGTGTATACAGTCCAGGTTTTTCATTCACGTCTCTGCGCCTTTTCTACCTTACTTCCTCATCACAGAGAATTCCGTTTATGCCGACTGCGTCTTAACCGGGTACGCCCGTTAGCTAGTTGCATGGGATTACCTATACTTATGACCCTAACCTTGTTCACATAATTATTACAGTGATAATCAACCAAACTCGTCTGTTTCGTAACCGACCTCAGCTGATAGATATTCATGGTTCCAAAAGATCTACGTTACCTGACACTGGGTTTGACGTAGACAAAACTAAACCGTAGACGTCTGGCCCATAGTCACTCTTACCCAAGGGCGTTCAGACATTCAAATCCAAAATAGCATCTAGGCTTGTTGTGGAAGCAATACCCAAATCTGTGGCAGCCTGTCCACCCTTCCACCTACTAACCTCAATGATATGTTGAAGTAATGTCTTCTCGTTTAGGATGTGTAACAATGCATCATTAAACGTACCACCGACATCATGCATCAGTTTCCAATCCACCTCAGCAGCAACGAAATTGACCACTATAAGGAGTTGGTGTAACATGCCCATTTTCCTCTAATAACACTGAATAATTGTCCATCCTCCTGTCGAGCAGAAGAGGTGCATCTACAAACGCACTGGAGCATCACATTTGTTTTGCCATCTGTTATGGAATGGTTCAGCAGTTGAATACATTAAAATCCACCTCTGATTCCCAAGCTGGCTATAATGCTGCGCTATCAACAGCAGAACACCCCCACCCATTCTACCATATGATCCACCTACCCTGTTGATCAAACTTCCAGGACTGCAAATGTTACCCACAGACAAGTCCCATTGTTACCAAGCTCCAAAAAATGAGGTGAAATCTTTCGCATGCTAGTTGCCCCGAGAGTTCACACCAGTTATTCCCTCAGGTTGTCAAAATTGATATGAAAGATCCTCAGAGACATTCTACGATCACCCATTGATTCAACTCCCATGAATCGTTGAGCAAACCATTCCACTTGTTTACTACAGGAGGTCTTTTAATCCTTCTCGATCCCAGGTACTCCCTAAGTTGGAAGGCTATTACGATGTTGGTTCGTTTTTCTTTTCTATGGGTAGCCGTATTAGCTGTATTCGTGCTTCCAAATCTCTAACTCGCTCCCAGCAAACGTAAAGGAATCGGTTCGGCCGTCGGTTCTCTCTGATAACGAATCATACCGGGGTCTTCCTGCACCACAAAGCATAGTCTTATCGACTTCAACAATGACCAGAAAGAGAGTATGCATGCATTAAAAAGTTGAAAAGTGGTCTAAAGTGCTGCAAAGAATATCATAACAACGTCGTCTGTTCCTCGACATTTTCTTTCAGTATTGCAGATCAAAGCAATACCCCAAATCCCGCAGTAAGTAATTAAGACCAACATGTCTACAAAACTGTCTTCTATAGTGAAGCGAGCCTATTCGTTGTCCATCGTTCGTTCGCTGTTTGTCGTCGTTCAACTATGTTTGATCCACGAGTGACATTTATACACTTTTTGTTTTCAACTTTTATGTACTCAAAGATTTGTTTGGTCGGAAGGAGATACCGACAACTACCCCGAGCACTCAAACATACGAGCCGCTGCGTGTTTGCTTGTCGCTCCGCAGGCCGACAATATACTCTTTGCCTACTAGTTGTGTTATTCTCGACCGGTCGTCTTGGGTTCGCTTGATCCTACAGCGGTCTATTACCTTACATCTACTGTCTGTATCATAACTCGAATCGAATCCTGTCCCCCTGCATAGACAAGAGAGCGGTCCGAACACTTCATGGGGTTTATATAGCACCGTTCTTCCAGTAAGCTAATCAGGTCATACATACCGGCCTGAATAAAGACACTAGCTGCTGAGCGTTTTCAGAGTGCAGCAGCAACACTAGTCATCAGTGCAAACAATTTCGCGAACGAGTCCTGAATGGAAACAAACCTGGACTCCGATGGCTCCGCGGTGAATTAATACTCACACACTTCCTAATTAGAGTTGGACTCGTTGAACACTTCTTTATCACAGCAAACGATGACAGCTGGCGAGAATATAACAGGGAGTATCTCAAGATTCGATATCGGACCTATCATGGAAAAAGGTTTATTCTTACATGATTTATAAAATTTGGAAAAATATTCCTCCTGATTTCGTTAGCAGCGAGTATGTAGTGCAGAGAAAAATTGGTTATGATTGGTAGATCTTGGTTTGTGCCAGAGATAGAATCTAGCCTACGGAGGTCCGTTTATAACAGTGTGAGTTGCAGGTGACCAGTTCTTTTCTCAATGCCATTCTTTTCTTACACGTTTTTGTTATGGGGTAATGGGTTGATAGAGTTACTTGCTGTTTAGAAGAAACATTCCCAGTTGGTGGAATGCTTGCACAGTTAGGGGAAGATGAGGACCAAATATGTCTAAGACAGCATATCAACGGAAGTGTGCTATTCTGGTGATCCTGTTCAAGAGGGGATGGAGTTAGAGATGTAACTGGTGGGTTTGCTGATGCCTCCTCCATGGAGTATACCACTACCTGTCGGTCCTTTCTATCATGGTTGAGGTCCGTTGCACCGTGAAGAAAGCTTACGTCAATTATCATGTATTTGAATAGCCATTGGGAGTCACAATTACTTTTCTTTCATTCTCCCCTCCTTAATTCTTCTTGCCCATATAGATTACTCGATAATCAAAACGGGCTTGAAATCGAAAAACGGAATGTGAAAAATCCGTCATTCCCGCTTCAAGTGGGACAATCGCAGCTTCGGGTGCTGTTGTCTGGCATTCCGGTGCAAATATTCTGGAGTCTCGATTGGCAACAGACATTTCATCCTGTGTACATTGAACTTGAACTTGAACAACCGTCTTATATGATCTATTATCATACACCTACTGTGAGTATCAAAAGCCGGATCGAATCGTGTTTTATACGCTGCTTACTCTGACTGCCATACCATCAACTTGAGTGCGTAACACGGTTTGTTAACGATTGCCATTCACAAAGGAAATTAACCGTTCACCAGTTTAGTGGTGCCCCTGGTAAGCAGTCATATAAATGCGAATGTTTGTTGTCAGAAACTCTCATGTGAGGCACCCGTGAACTGAATGCTATACGAATCGGGACATAATTTTGGATGAAAATGTAACTGTTTGATTGCAACTTTCGTATTAAGCTAAGCGGTTCAGCCAGTCCCTTTCGAAACGAGCCAATTGACTGGTGTCTGGATCTTGTTAGATCTGATCAATGGGTTGAATTGCGGAGGATTGCGACCAACAAGAGAGTGTGAACACAACCGAATTTTGTCAGTTGTTAGCCACGGAACAACCGGTGAGTTCTGGTGTAAATATATGATCGGGCGATTGAAAACCATGGTTCAGCCCAAGCTCGAACCGGGGACCTTCTGCGTGTGAGGCGGACGTGATAGCCACTACACCACTGAACCGACAGACGGACGTCCACAGAACCATATATAGTGTAGCCAACTGGGCAGGAACAGATGAACTGAAACAGCTCATGCTCACCTCATGAAAGTTTACAAATGCACCGAACACAACAGAGAAACAAGCGCGGCAAATCCTCGCTTGACAATCATATGTCAGATGACACTGAATCTCATGCTCGCGGAAATTGGGGAATCAACTGGATCAGTGAAAATCAGCGTCAACACACAGAACCAAAGACACAGTCCTCAAGACTGTGGATTCATTTCGTACACTTCTATATGAATGGGAATACAAGAAATGCCATTATTCCAGAGATCCTGGTAACGGTGGGTATTTTTCCACGTACATGTTTCACCGATTTACTCACTTGTCCGTCAGCCATGGAAGGCTTCCACTCAGACTCCGAGACATCCCAATCAAGCGACCTCGTGAAATGATCGATCGTTCAAGGAGCCTGCGCCTATCATAACACTCTGGGGACGATACCATGAGTGGTTAGTTTGAATGACAGAAACATGTCTCTAACCGAATCGAATTATATCCCACAATCCACACGACCAAAACCCACTCTCCACTTTGTCTAGTCTATTAATGGTCGCTTCACAAAACCAAACTAGACTGCACAAATACGATCCTTTGTTAACAAAGCTAAGTTGCTGAGTCGAAAACAGCTCGTGTGCTGCTACATGCATGAGCATTCTGTAAGTTGGTAACCGGTTGGACACCATCGAGACAATCGACGCCTCATAAATATAATCGCTGCACCGCAGCTGCATGCCCGATCTCAGGATCTGTCAGAGACATCGAGGTAAGTTTCGTTGATGAATATAGCACAACCAGATGGAGGCCATCAAGAATTGAGGCCTTGTGCACGACCAACGATTTCAAAGCGACCCGCACTTCATAGACTGTCATTACACAGTTGTCCATGACTACAAATCTCTCTGCGACATCACCCTGATCGGCGGCGCTATCCATTATCTATCGCGTGAGCATTCTCGAACGACCTTAGCGAGTATTCACCTTTTCACTTTTGGGCACAAAGTCCTTTTTGATATTTTCTCTGTCACTTCCTTCTTCTTCCATATCCTCGCTCGTTTTCTTTCAACGTTTTCCGTTGCGTTTCGCTTCGTTCATCCAATTTTGATTCCCCTATTCGGTTTCCTTTTTTCTCTTGCGCCATTTCCTTTTTCCTATGATTCCTTTCGTTTCCATCTGTTGCATTCATTCTGCCTGTTTTCTCTTGTCGTTTTTCTCGTTATTCTATGGTTCTGTAAATTTTCTATATATGTTGGTCTTCGGTATTGACGTTGCCTATTTTCTTCTGCTTGTTTTCCCCTTCATGCTCTTTGCGGTTTTTTTGTTATGCTTTGTTTTTCAGCCTGTTTTCTTGATTTTCTTCACAGTATGATCAATGTGAACCCCACTTTGACATGCTGTTATTTTTTCCACCGATTCTTCCCCCTCTTTATTCATCATGCTCGCTAAATTGTGATGCAGCTGTTTACCAAGGAAGCTACAACTAGTATAAAATCCTGCCGGGGAGGATGCTGTGAAAGATGTCTAATCTTTTATATGCCCAAAAACGCTTCCAACCCCTTGACCCTATCGGCACGTTTACTAGTCAAATAGAGAATGCCAAGCAAGCAGAATATGGAAATCATATAAGTGAAGTCACATGAACCCCACGCTCTTCTGAATAGTATTCGCTCTTCTGAAAACGTAGCTGTTTATTCCAAGTCTTTTATTCAAGGACAAAAAAGTATTTTTCTCGTTTACCTATGATAACCTCTCTTCTTTCTGAGTATATTGGTGTTTGCTTCCCTCTTCGGTTTGTCCGATCTTAATTGATCATTGTTTCACGGCTAAATACATATTCACTTGGCGTGATATGTCGCATGGCTTTTAGACTCAGTTATTATATGTGCTCTGTTGCCATGTGTTGAAGTTTACTTATCTACCGTCTGCATTGTTGGGTGGAACTACAGTCCGCTATTTGGCTGTTCGAATTCGGGCAGTTCATACTATATTTCGTCAGTCGTCTGACCTCCCCTACAGCTATTCCAACCGCCGCTCAGAAACAAGATTTCGAATCTACATCTCTTTGACAAGATGATCAACGACAACATTCTATCTGAGCATCATTTACATTCAACATAAGCTGTACGAACGGACAGCTTAAATTCACTCCATGCATAACTTAAACGAAAAACTTAAACACCTAACACTTTACTATTGCAATGGTTTTCAATCATTTATAAATGATCAATGAGGGGAACTGCTTGTATAGATATTAGTGGACATAAAGTGCGTAAGCCGAAAAATTCACAATTCCTGTATAAATGGCATGAATGCGCTTACTTATGCAGATGGCAATAAATTCACTTATAAAGAGCACTCCGTCGTGTATGATAGCCAGCTGCAATAAGTTAACGGCCGTCCACCATGGGACCATACCAGCTTACAAACCGCACCTAGCTCTGACCTGACCGAACAGCGTAAGAGAATGATCTGCCATGCACACAGATCGAATGAAACATGTTATCGTTGCTGTTATTTGTTTCTACTTTCTATGCATATTCCCAGGAGCGGCCCAGTCATCTGGTTAAACTACACTTAACGAAGAAAATTCCCACTATGGTTTTTCTGACGGTCAACAGTTATCAACATCTAACTTCAGATCGGGTTTCTTTCAGAATCTAGGAAAGGCTTGCATCCAAATGATCTAAACGGATTTTCAGCTTACGAAGAGTTACAAAGCATGATCAGAACCGAATTTTGACTGCAATATTTGCAAACGACAGACAATTGCACCTCTTTCGATTTGCTATGAATATTTGTTCCATTTGGCGATAATCCAATTTTTCCTTCAATATTGATATATTCATAACACGAGCACCATTAGGGTTCAGTTACCTTTTCTTGTTAGAACAACTTGTCACCCAAACGCCATAATCGAGTTTCATTTTTGTCAGTGCTTAGAATTGTCCTGACCGGAAGATGAACTCCGCTTGACATCCTCATGTAGTAGTCCCGTTTGCTGTCCTGTGACTGTTTTTATATGATATACAATTTCCGATGAAACAACTGAGCATAAGTAGCTAGTAAAGGTCAATTGGCTGATCTGACAAGAAACTGGGGTGGCTCTTACTCCTGAATTTGACGCGCACAAAAGTTGACTTATCAACTGTGAATGAATCAGTGTTGCACTGTTTTCAGTAGTTATTTCTTGATATAGGACGACTGCGCCGCGTTTTTGTATATCTATTCAACAGCTAGTTTTAGCTTACTCGATTTGGCAGAATTCGACCTACCTCAGGTTATTGACCATTGAAGATCGAACTCTGCAGCTGACTTCCCGTGGATGATCGATACGTGTTTCATGAACTCACTACAACAAAATGGATGGCATACAGGACCTTGATAACTGTGGATAGACCTATCGTATTCAGACTTTATCAATGCAATGTGAGTTTATCGAATCGGGTTTGTACGCAGGCTGATTTATTAAGAAATGATTCTCACTCCATGAATGTGCTTTTAGTGACCGACAGTAAGAAGTGAGTGTAGCGAGTCGAGTTCCATAGTTGTCTTCTTTTTCTTTCTGAGTTGGAGATAGCTGTGCGCTGCCATCCGAACCTGGTCGCATGATATAGCAACATAAATTCATATAAACGTACGTTCTGTGTCAGCTAAACATTGGAAATCATCCTGTGAATCTGTCATCAAGGAATACTTGACGATTTTGGTGTTATCGGTGATCGTGACATTGTCATATATGTACGGTTGACGACTGACATTCTCTGCCATATAATTATGTTTAGTCAAATTTCCATATACATTAAACAATTGTCTAAGACGATGGGATATAGCAGATCTGTTCGAAATGAAAATACGGCAAGTAGTGAATATTGTTCGAAATTATTATCGAACGATACTCCAAATAATGCTAGTCTATGAACTTTTGAACGGTTAACATTTTTGCTCTTCAGCTGTTTGACTTGGATTAACGTCGTAAACATGGGCTATCTGTTAATGTAAGAGCTGCCACGAAGTGTAGAAAAATGTTATGAATCAAGTTCTCCAGTTCTATTTTACACTCTGAGGCAGGTATCCGTTTAGATTACTCTCATTTAGAGAATTCCCATAAGGTTTGAATTGTTTGATCAAAACATTCGCTGCGTACTCTTAGAACGACCTTGAGGCTGAAACAATGCCAGGTAATTAGAATGTGGTGTTAGACGTAAAGCCTTCAAAATAGCCGATAACATAAACAGCGAATAATTTATTCCAGCGAAATCGTGTCCTTCTGATGAAATGTAATCACAGTAAAACAGGATGTACTCCGAGATAATCACAAGATATTCACACGTGATCCATTATTGGTGTAAACTATACATCAGGATCAGGGAGCGGTATAACACGAACGGAAAAGTAGTATGCACAAACAAACAAACGTGTTTGGCAATAGACAATTTTGGATGTTAGGTATCTTTTGTGATCATCATGAATTCACAATGTTTTACTTGATGCATGCTTGAGGAGAATTTTTATCATGGACTGGGTCTTTCCAGTGCACGGTGATGATATCGTACTTCTGCGTATACCATCTGGACTGTATTTCGTTCGGAATATACTATAGTTCGTTTAATACTGCACTTGAAGTATCAAGGCTCTACAAACAGTCAAAGAAAATGCGCCTATGAAGTGAAGTTCAATGATTAACGTACCATGGTACGTTTCCCCTATGCAACTGCAGTTGCTTACATTGGTTTCAGAAGCAGTGAAAAGACAGCCGTCGTCCCCACAGCAATGTTGATAAAACAGAAAACACTTCTGGGCCAAGTTTAGATTAAACATATGGTTTTGTTTCTATTACATAAAGCGGTTATGTGTCTAGTCTCTCGACAATCATATTCAACATGCTTGCGTCGCTCGTATTGATAGCATACATTAATCAGCTACATCAAATGTCAGAATTCTTTATCTGTGATACTTA